GAGGCAGAAGTGGATGTGAGAGAAAGAGAGACACAGAGAGACAGAGAGCCAAAGAGGGCAAGAGACTTGACTTTAAGAGACTCCTGTACTGACAACTCCATGCAGTTCGGAACCAGAACGACTACGGCTGAACCAGGGTTCATGGGGACATGGCAAAACGCTGATACTAACCTCTTATTCAGAATGTCCCAACAGGTAAGTTTCTTTCTTTCTTTCTTTCTTTATTTTTTTTTAAACCTTGAATTGTTATGTGTACTTTTGTTTCTGCTATTTTCCTTTCTAAACGTTTTTAAAAATTTGATCAATCCGCAGTTAGGCTCTGTTTTGTCATAACTGTGGTGTTGGAATGTGCAGAGTTACTTCATGGTTTCCCTGAGGGCTCCTTAAAAGAAAAAGGGGGAAAGGATAGTGAAGTAAAAGAAAGCAAAGGCATTCGTTGCAAAGTTTCACAGTATAGCCTGGGTCATGGGAAGACTTTATTTCTTTGTTTTCTGTTTGAAATTAAAAATAAAAAAAGCCACCACCCAACAAATGTATCTTTCTATCTGTATTAATCACTTCATCAAAGTGTCTGCTGTCTTGGAGTAGGTTCTCCAACCAAACAGCCATAAAATGTAGGGGCCCCTCTGCACAGCTAGACCGACTTCATGGGCTGGAAGCAGCTCGACTCGACCTGCGGAGAGGAGGCTGTGCAGGAATCGCTGCCAGCGCCTGGGGTCGAGGAGGAGGCGGCGGTGTGCGTGGCGGGCCGTGCCGGCCGGTCCCAGTTCCCCTGCACCGGCCGCGGCCGCGCTCCCGCCCGTCCACCTCCACGCTCGCCCCTGCGCTCCCGCCGGCGCCAGCGCCGGCTCGGCTCCCGCACACTCGCCCGTCCGCCCGCCCGCCCGCTGGCCAGCGCACTCACACTCGGGCGCAGCCGCGGCGTCCTCCCCAGAGCCGCTGCTCGGTCCGGGCCGCGCTGCCGGCGGCTGGGTGTGCTGGCTCTGCCCCGAAAGCCGACGTGTTAGTGTGAGGCCAGCGGCAACTGATAATTAATCACCAGAGTCGGCGGCTCGTACCATGCGCTTGGTGATACGCGCCCTGCACACCCGGCTCTTCTTGCACAATTGCTGGCTTTGCGGCTCCGAGGGGGAGCGAGGGTGAGAGGAAGCGAAGGGAAACAACCCAGAAACTTTCATCTTGGACTGTGCTCAAGCGAGGGAGGGAAGTTCCCTGGTGCCTCCCTCCTAGACACGTCTTGCTTTTCAAAAGCCTACACCAAACCCACACAAAGCAAGAGTTAGCATGATAGTGTCATCCACACAGCACGAAACTACTACTGGAAAATGCACTTGGATTTTAAGTAGATGGCAGTTAAGAAATTGGTAATGTTCCACTCATTAAAAAATATATATATATTGTAGTTGCTTTCTTTTTCTAAAACCTGTTTTGCTTGCAAGAGTTCATGAGGACTAAATACTTTATTGCGTTAATTAGATTTTTTAAAGCATTGGTAATGAAGGAAAGAAAACAATTTGGTAGGCTATAAACTACTAGAAGTTTAGAGGTACATCTGCAAAAGCCAGTGCTCGGAGCCAGGGTTTTGTAGGATTTAGCTAGCAAACAGTTTTATCATGCCTTTCTAGATAGGATAAATGCATTTGAATAAGGTGTATTTTGACATATCCTGTAGAGGGACCCTGATTACTGCTGATACAGTAAGCTGGGATTTAAATGCAATCAACATAAACCCAATAAGCAACTCTTTATGAGCCATTTCCCATTCTTGCAAGTTAAAAAGTTCATTTCCTCCCAGAGATACTCCTTTTCCTTGTAGAGTGCCTTGAGAGGTATGTTTCTGAGGCACATCCCTGCCTGGGTGGCTCTCTCCATAGTTGAAACAAGAGTATGTTTTCACTGACTTTAGGAACAAGCAACTTGTGCCGCACTTTAAAAATTAGATGTCACGTTTAGGGTTTTCCTTGAGGTAGGGGAGGTAAAGAGTGTGTGTGTGTGTGTGTGTGGTGTGAAGGGAAGATTGGCTTAGATCTCTCTCTAGCTAGAAAAGAGTTAATAAAACCAGATAGAGATAATGATCAATTGATAAATGGCTATTGAACCACATAGATGGTGTTAGATTGCTTCTTTGGCACTAACCCATTTCCAAGTAGATTTGAATCTAAGAAGACTTTAAGTCCTGGAAAACATTTTAGCTAAAAAACAAATAAAAGTAAATTATACAAGTGATTGATCAGAATTAGGAAAATAATTTGAAATCACTGAGAGAAAGAAACTTGTACAGCTAAGCTATTATGATGTCTTTGATCCAGTTACTTTGTGGATAAATACAGATCTATTTTGTTTCTACCTGTGTACATGTATATGTGTCTGAGCCTCAGTTGACTATATGAAAAGAGTAGAAATATAGGGAGGTAATTTATGCATAATGGAAGCGATATAATTATAACTGTGTAATATTATACCATTTACTAAACAGAGTAGTAAAATAAAAGAAAAATCACAGCTTTAAAAAGTGTGATTTAACTATATATATGTATGTGTGTATATATATGCATTTTTATTTTTTGATTTTATCGTAGTTAGTGACTCCCCTCCCCCTCTTTTTTTTTCTGTCATGGTTACTAAATATTTACCCTCCTGTTCATTTTTGGAAAGCATGTAAAGAGTATATGAGTTTACATATTTGTTTTTTCCTTCAGGATAAAAACATTTGAGTTTGAGTAAATATTATGTGAACTTAAATTCAAACTGTGTAAATCTAAAAAATATATGTGCTTTACATGTTTAATATGTTTATTTTCTGTACCTGTAGTTCATCAGCAATGCTGATTCAGTGTGTGTGCGTGTGTGTGCACACGCGTGCTTGTGCACGCAGCAAAGACACTTTTCTTGAAATGTTATTTCTTGAAGTTAACAGTTTCAAGGAATACTAGTTTCAATATACACATTAAGCCACCTTTTGTTTTACTACAGGTAAAAGTTGTCCAGTGTAATCAGGTATGCAAAATTCTGAATAAAGAGGTTTTTGTATATTATGATTATTTTAATTTCTAAGAAAAAATTGATTTAACTCATGAAATGAATAGAATTGACTGGGTATACTTTTTTTTATTTCGAAGTTTTCTGTAGTAATATAAAAACTGTAAGATTCACCTGATAATTTCTTTAAACATTAGAAAAGACTGAGTGGCAGGTTTCAAAACTGAGCTACAGAGAATTAACTACCAATATTATTTAACTAGAGCAAACCTTGTAGTGGGAAATATCTCATGAATACTGAGATTCAATAATCTAGATTTGTGTCTTCTACAGTAAATTAGGAAGTAGGGCTATAAAACTCTTTTGTCTTTTGTATGAGCAGAGTTGTGTCTGATTATATGTAAATCTGCCAGTCTGTCCAGTACTAACAAAAAGACATCACAAACTGAAGCCAGTTTAGATTTGGTAGAATTAAGTATGTTTCCCTTAAGTTCAAGATATGATAATTTTATCACATTTTCCTGTCTTTCTACATCTTTCCCATGTTTAAGCGTGATTTTTTTAAAAAGGATAATTTTTTTTCCATACAAATATTTGATAACCTTAAAGGGCATGACTCTTGGACTTTCGTAAAGGAAGTTCTTTTTTGAGTTACTTTGATCAGTGACAGGTCGAGAATGACCAGAAACCCTTTGCTCATCTTCTATGTTAATCTCCTAGAGTCTAGAATGTTATTTTGCTCATTTTAACCTCATTAAGTTTTGTTAAAAGCAGAACTAAGGCCTGCTTTTAGAAGTTGTTTTTTTAAATCAGGTTTTAAAAGGTGATTTTTCTATTTCTATAAATATTTTGCGCATTTGAGAGACTATCAAATAAAATTCTTTGTAGCTACTTCAAGGAATGCAATAGTCTATTATATTTTGAAATCTTTCCAGATATGAAACCGTAACAGGTAAATGGCTCCAGCCCATGTTTTACACATTATTAGAGACATTCACCTTTTATTATTGGTGAGGTGTATTTAACCTGTTTCAAATAAAATGTAGATCCCTTAATAAGGTCTCTTTTCAGACACAAGTGAAATACTAAGTTAGAATTATAAATGACTCTGTGCATCATTATGTAGTAATTTAGGATTCACCCAATGATGTAACAAAATTAACAACATAATTTCATTGTGAAACTGTGTCTTATTAAAGAACAACTGTCTGACATTCTCTTAGAGTTGCTTTATTTAACTTCATGCAAATATTATTAGTAGTGACATTTTTCTATTGTGCATTAGATTCTCTCATTAGCATGATGTGTTAGTTATCACCAGAGAAATCATTTCTTAGGTAGGTGAGGGGCAAACCAAGAAAGCTAAAAATTAAATCAACGATTTACATTAATACTAGAGCGTCTGCTCACCAGAGATATGACAGAGTAAAGCAAACTTTCTTTCTAATATAAAATCTAGCACATTTCAGAGAAATGATAAATAAAATATATTGTAGGAAATATATAATAACATTGCTGGAATCCATTTAAAAGCATGTTTGATATGAATTTTTCTCCCAGTAGTCTTTTAGTTCTTTCTATTCATATAGGCAAACACAGTTTCAGTTTGTTGAATCTGTATTTTAAAGTGGAAATGGTGGTTTTGTCTGACTTTCTACCTCCCCTCACCAAATAATTTAAATGTTTATTCACCAACAATTTAAAAGGCACACATACAGTTTTTCTTATAAGTCAGATGCCTAATTGTATATCGTGGTTTGATTCTTCTTTATTGTTTGTGCAGTACATTTTTATTCTAAACTCTGTCCCACTCATGTAGACATCCCTTTTAACATAGGATGTATATTCTTATTTAATCAGAGCCCTGAGTAAAGCAGTTGATAGTTAATGGTCTTTGACAATGACTTTCATTGCCAGGCATCATCCATCCCTAGGTTTCTGCACTTTTCCCTCCCTTTTTACTCCCCTTCTTATAGTTGGTGTGTTTTGGTAATCGTGTCTTAAATTGACCAAACTTATGGTCTTGATAGGAAAATATTTATATTAGGAAGCATGTAATTTCAGCCTGTTGAATTACCAGGCTGCTACCTCCAATTTAGTTCCCTTCTGTAATTGGAGTGATAATATGTTTCATTTTGAAGTTTTAACTACAGACATATATTCAAATATAATTCTTAACATCCACTCTGATAGTGTAACACTAAAATACGAATATT